CACCAATGATTAAAACTCTTAAAACTAAGTAAGTTATATTTCTGTAAAATGTGACAATGATGCCACCGAACTGATTTTTTATCCATTATTTTTAAGGTTTGATTATATAAGGATACCACAGCCTGAATTGTAGATGGTGCTGCTTGGGTCCAAACTGTCATACAATATGAAAAATGCGAAAATATCATAGAATGCATAAATAACTGAGCTGCTGAAGTGGGTATATAGTGCCGAATTAACTTAAAACAATTCAGATTAGCCTTGATCGTCTTAGAAATCTTCTTTACATGCTTGTCAAATTTAAGATGTGAATCTAAGATTGTTCCTAAAAACTTAAAATCTTTGACCTTCTTTATTTCTTCGTTCCTTAGGTTGATTTTAAAATCATCAGATGAATTTTGTTTCCTAATCGAAAAACACATAGAAACAGCTTTTTTAAAATTCAGTACAAGATGATTTTGTTCCAGCCATTTTTGGACACCATTTAGATGTACCGTTAAGGTGTCTGCTGCTTCACCAGGTGACTTAGCTGGTACGTGTATAACTGCATCATCTGCATAAAGTTGGCAGTTGGCTTTTGGGCAGCTGTTAGGCAAATCATTTATAAACAAACTAAATAGCAATGGGCCAAGAACAGATCCTTGGGGAATACCGATTCTGTTTTCCAACATGGATGACTTTTCTTTATCAACTCTCGCACACTGTTCTCTTTTGTGGAGATAGGACTCAAACCAATCAACTGCTTGCTTTGAAAAGTCAAATTTTTATCAACTTAGAAAGACGTATGTCATGGTTGACAGTGTCAAAAGCCTTTTTTAGGTCAAGGAACACTGCACCCACAACACTACCATTATCGAGATTACACTTAATATTTTCAACAAAATAGCAATTTGCCATGTCTAGTTAGTAGGCTACAATTAGCCATACAGCTAAAAAAATGCTTGAAAAGGCACCAACAGCACAAATGTAGTTGAGAGGTTGTTGGTAGTTTAAGGTTTGGGGGATATTTTCTTGACAAACTTACTATCAGCATTGTTTAAATGCCACAGTCTACCTGAGCGTTTGACAAGGACTGTACTACAGAAACAGCAGATCTCAATCCAACAGAGCACCTTTGAGATGTGATGGAACAGGAGATTCACATCATGGACATATATGTGAAGCTGTCATATAGTGTCAGTATGGACTAAAATCTGCAAAAGGTTTTCAGCACCTTGTTGAATCTATGGCAGTTCTGAAGGAAAACTGGGTTTGAGTTTGGTACTTGCGTACCTAGCAAAAGTAACTGGTGTATCTTGTTCCCTGAAATTTCTGTACATTTAACCTAAATCAAATTCATCTTAACTGAGACTGTAATTTATAAAATAAACACAATGCTTTATAAGATTTGAAACTAGTAAATGAGACTGTAAACCCATCAGAAAAGAGTTTACTGATGTGGGGTTATTTTCTCATAGACTTATACAAACTACACAGACGTCTACTGGAGGAGTTGGACTCTGCTGACTATTAGAAGGAATGTTTTTATACCTGAAGGCTCTGTCCTTAAACTACGGTATGTAGTTTCAACAAAGCATCACTTTTACAAGCAGTCAGTCAGCTTATGATTGTCAACAGATGTCCAATCCAGAAAGGAAAGAATGACAACTTGGAGATGACGCCTTTCCACAGTGATTTACCTCCAAGGTCATGTCCCCTGCTGGCACATCAGTAACCTCACTCCAGCCATATGCTGTACATGAATGCTCTCTGGTATGAAGAAACAGTTGATCTCCACCCTTTTACGGTAAAAACTCTGTCATGGCGGCTTGCGTCTTGAATGCCAGGTGATGACAGATGAGCGACAGGGGGCAGGGATAGATGGGAATGGTAATAAAAACAAGAGGGCAGATGTGCTCTATGGCTGAGTCAGTCGCCCCCTCAGGGCTGAAGTCTATGTGAGTTTGGCTGGGAGCTGGTATTTGATGTGGTGATGCAAGGCGATGAACACTGTACCCAGGTGTGGGAACATGAAAGGGAGAGTTGAGGAAAGAGCTACATGTCTTCTCTCTTTTTACAGGTCATGGAGGTATGGTCATATTATATATTATGCAGTATGCAAAGGTGGAAAGAGGACTAAAATGTCCCACTAAGGGATAGAATCAAAGTTCAAAATCATTCATAAAAATAAACAGCGCTGCTATAACTTGGCCCAAACCGAAGATTACTATTAAGTATTATGTTTTGGGCGGGGTTTAGTGAATATGGGCTAGTTTACATATGTCAGTTAATACCTGTTGGCTAGCTACATATAGATATAGGGGTCGAGGTTAATTCAATGATGAGAATGAAGGAGCAAGACACTGAAAAAAGACCAAACTTTAGCTAAGAGAACATCTGAGATGATCCTGTCTCCAACACAATATTAGTCACTACTATGTTGCTGTGTTTGTTGGATTACTTGCACTAGAAAAGTCCTGAAAGTGAGTCTTTTCTGAAGCATTCAAACTTTGGTGTTCAGGACGTCTTGAGCCCATAGGCTGTCGTATACACCACAATTTCTTATAGCTTAAAGGCCTGCAAAACATGAATAGTGCTAATAAGAAGCTGGAAAGCCAAGAATGACAACTGAATAGGATTTTTTTTGTGTGTGTGTTGGGGGGGGGCTTCTGTCTATTCAGCAAAACTAGAGAGAACGTACCGCAGCACGCTAACAGAATCTCATCTAACACAAGAGCTGCCAGGACCCAGAAATAGATTTAATGCCACAGTGTTTTGAAATCTAGTTATCGACTCATCAGTCTTTGTAGTTTACGCAACTTAAAATGTATCATTTATCATTGTTTTCATAGTGCTTTAAAAGTTAAAAACCACAAGTTTTTGTAACTCGGAGTTAATGAAAGTTGTAATAAGCTCTAGGAAGTAAATCTTGGGAGAGTTGTATTGGTATTAGAACAATGACCCTGTCTGTGTTTAGACTGGTTGCCTTTGAGCCTCATTTTGTTGTTTTACTTTCAATAAAGTAGGCGCAAACCTCAGATGAGGCTTCATTCAACAAGGAGATCTCAGTAACTTGAGAAGATTCAAAAGTAACATTTAGTTTGCATTTTTTTCCACAGGATCAGTGCCTACTCATTAGCCCAGTGTAACCAAATGTTTTCAAACAGAAATCCAGTGATATTTACATTTGCTGTAGCCATGACCTGGGGTTGGCATTTAAGTCTTCTAAACTTTTCACTCTTCATGCCACGATTGGGAACTGTCTAAAATGCTACCTTTGTACTGACACTGGTATCAAATGGCTTCAAAAGTTGTAGACATAAGAGATTCATGCTTAATTAAGTTCAGTTAAATTGACAGCATGTAAAATGAAACAAAGATGACAACAAAAAATAGTTAGTTCAGCTTAATACCATAACTAGTTTTTCTTAAGGTTTGTTAACCCAACTAAGCAAACCAAACTGATTAAAAACTCATTTGACCTTTTTATTTTGTACTTTTTGCACATTGCGTG